TCAAAGAATCTACATTGAGAACTAAATGAGAAATCTTAAAGGGACTTTCTGAAAAGACTCTTATGAGCCTTTGACTGAATCCATGTAGCAGCACATGGGCCTGTTCTTTGTAGTCCTGGGGAATGTTGGACTTTCATTGTGTTTTGTTGCTATAGATAAATGTCTAATGTGCTCTGCAGCTGTTCCTCTCTCTCCTTTAAGTCATGTCAGGGATCGACCTATAGCTGGAATGACTATAACAGGAATGCTCTTTTACAATTTTGTACAATTACAAGATAACATGTTTCATCAGTCTATCTTGATAGGTAATAAGGTATCATCAGAACAATCAGCTCTACTCAACTTTGCCTTATTTGTACATCACCCTTCATACATCAATACATTCTGGACATAGTTCTTCACAAAAAACAGGACATAACATAAATTGATCACAATAGATAGAATTGAAAGCAAAAATAAACAACGAGATAAAAACAAAAAGGAAGGTAATACAATAATTTCAATGAATAAAAGTTTAATAGAAAATGTAATGAATCAATTAAATAAAATCAATAAATTAAAAAAAATATATAAGTGATAATATAATAACTTAAGCATGGTAAAAAGTTTAATAAGACAAAATAAAAACCGGAGTTAAAACAATGACAGAAACATTCAACAAAGAGGCAGTGAGTGTAGGGGCATGAAAACAAAAAGCTCTCTCCCTGGGGCTTGTGTGGGTCTCATGAGGCATATAAAAAAGGAAGCATTTGTAACCAGGCTAGTAGAAGAAGATCAGTGATGTATGTAGGAGCAAGGCTGTGTAAAACTTATTTAAAAGTATTTTAAAAGAAGTTGTAACAGTGCCCAATGTGTCCTTGGGCAAGTCACTTAACCACAAGTTGCTCCTGTTCCTTCGGTGTATAAATATGTATGAATTGACAAGTTAATACTGATGGACACTTTATGTAGCAGCCTCTGCCATCAGTGTGTGAAAGGATATGGTGTGACCCGCTGTGTAAAAGAGTTTTGAGTTGTAAGAAGATGAGAAAAGAGCTATTCAAGCTGGAGTCCATTTACCATTTCACCATTTAATAATTGAAGAAACAGCTTCTTCCCCTTGTGACCAGCTCTGCGCTAACAAACTTTCAAATGTGACAGATATTAATCTGATGTTTTTTCTCCTGGTGTAAATGGCTTTGCTTTGTAGACTGACAGTTTGATTAATTGCTTACTAAAGCAATCTAATGGCTGGTCTGTCTAGAGAGTAGATGTCAGTAAGTTTTCAGGTCTCTTAGTTGCAGATAATATTGTATATTCAGCTCAAGCATAAATCGCTGTCAGAAACTTTTCCCTTGTATCTTGTATCTATATGACTTAGGAAATGTAAGTGGATTTGCCATTTCCTGAACTCTGATGATTATTTTGTTATGAACGGTCTCCCTCTTTGTGTAATCTGGCTCTAGTCACAAATTTATACAGAGTAATCCGAGATCTGATAAACTGCCTCGATGCAATGTAGATAGCTTGATCTTAGCAGCCTTAGGTTCAAATCTAAGTTACAAGAAGACCGTTTTCTCCACTGTTTATGTTGCATTAATGGTCTGTGTGATTTATTGCAACTGGTGTGCCAAGAAACCCAAACACTTTCTATCCAAATTAAACTGAGCATCTGGCTAAGTTTTGAAACATCACTGTAGTGAGTTATTGACTTACAATGCACAACAGCAAGAATCTTAAACTAAGGCAGCTAATTGGACTCAGTTGATATTATTTGGATACCATTGTACTTGTTCTCTTCTGTAAATGATCAAGCCGCAATTAGTCAGAGGAAAGGAAAAACCTTAGATTACATTTTTTGTCATGTTTTGTCCTCCATTCAAATGTTGGTTCAAGTTTTACTAATCGTTAGGTCTGTATTTGCGGTCCACATTTACTCCTGATGGAAACATCACATAGCATACTAATGCTCCACTGTGTTTAAAAAGCTCATTGCTTGACTTGTCTGCCAGCTCACGGTGGGTTTATCAGAGTTCTTTTTTTGGCTGAAAACAGCTTCCTGCTGCAGTTTGTGAGGTACGTGCACCAACAATCAAGTTGTGATCTAAGAAACTGAACTGAGAGATGTTATAGCACTCTCTGGAGTTAAGAACTGCAGTCTGCAGTCACTTTTAGAGAATTCATTGATATAACAGGGGATTTAACAGTGGGTAAAGGGAAATGTAAAAATGCTGATGAGTGCAGTTTTTGACACATGCTCTGTTGTTGTGGGTTTACTGAAAGCAGAAGCCAATAACTGAAATCAGTTCATTCAATTTTCTCAATCTGTAACAAAAAGAAGAGAGGCTTTTTTTTTTACAAGTGCAAATAATTTTGTAAAATTGTATATACCTGTGGCAAACAGTTCAGCAACAAACTTAATTTTGCATGAATTAGACTTACTTTAAAAAAACATTATAATAGTAGAATTATGTTTACCAGACATGATGATAAAACAGTCCAGGTTGAATCACTTGTATAATGTTTTAAGCTCACTATTATCAAATGCATCCTGGGATACGGTGTTGTTTCATTGCAAACAGATACATTCAATACTCTTCCTCTTTTATCCATGTTGCTCGTCACAGAAGCATGTGAGCAGTTGAATCTCCTGCCTCCAGCCATGTGCTGCTGCCTTTACTTCAGGATATGTCGGATTTTTCACCTGTTATCAGTTGAAGGCAAAAACTCCTGAGATCATAGTACTTTGGGTTTTGAGAGTGTCAGGACAACCTCATCCCTGGAGGGAGAGAGGGAGAGAGGGAGAGAGGGTTTTTGGAGAAGTGGTTGTAAATAGCATTGACGTATTTCACAACACTTTATGTGTGGTCTACACTTTATCATATTTTCCATGGTTGTTTCCCTAAGGTAGCTCTTACCCTTCATGTTTGTGTTGATGTGCTGCTTTCAAGTCAAGAGTAGCACATTTGGATGTTACTGACAGACATTTGCTGGAGTTAGACTTAAAGAGTTGTTGGGGGTGATTTATACCGGATTAAATCCTCATTGCCCCCTCTGGCAAACTCAATAATCTTGATAATATCTGGTAATGTGTCATGCACCATATTTTTTCCAAAACGTATAGTGTGTGTTTGAGATTGGAGAAAAAAATCTTGGAAGTTTCTTCTTAAGTGCAGGATACAACTTAGTTTCTTAAACTGGTTTTTAAACTCCTGTGGTCTGAGCTGTAGCTACAGCAGTGCTAAGAAGTATTAATGACATCATTCACCTTTACCTTAAGCCAAAACGTAAAAGCTCCTTTGAGTAGGATTTAAAGTTACCCTCCAAACATGAAAATCTTAAATACTCTGAATTTATAACTTGTAACTACTCAAGAAAGTTTGAGTACCTGGTTAGAACTTTAAATGACTTCTGCTTTCTCTCCAGAAATACAGATTTGACAACAATGTTCGTTTTAAAGCTTATACTACTACATACACGAGTCCTCCCCGTTTTTTTTCCCCACATGTCCATACATAGGCTTTAGGTGTCCATATCAGACTTGAGTAAATTGGACAATACTTGGCTTTAAAAATATATCTATAATGTTGCAAAATAACCTCACATTCAAAGTGCACACAGAAATTAAACCTTATTGTCATAGCAGACTTTGTTATAGCAGATACAGTTACAGTGTCATATACAGTCATAAACATAACTTTTGTAAAATGTAACATTTCTGAAAATCATGGACATTTTTATTCTGCTTGTGCAGCAAGTTGACATGGGAGCAATGAAACGCCCCCAAACACAAAGGTACTAGTTTAAAGGATTTGTAGACCCTAAGCAGATTATATCATGCATCAACTTTGACTGGAATATTATGAGATCTGACCTGATTGTTCAGGTGTAATATAACCTTTACTTTCACTTTCATGCCTGTCATTAACACTTCCAATACTACTGTCAATATTACTTCAAAGTCAATACCACTTTTGCTGCTTTCAGCTTTCTTTGGTATTTATCATTGCTATGCATTTAACCCTTAAACACTTCAGATTTAATATTTGACTCGTATTTGACGCTCTGTTATGCGACTTATTTTATTGTTCTGTAATTTTGAAGCACTCTGAAACAAGAGAAATCATATTTTGTATTCATATCTGTGTGCTCTTCAATATTCCTGCGAAAGTAGACATCACAAAGCCGAGCACACGACATGCTGGAGATAGTGTCCGTACTCCTTCTTTAAAGGATGAACACAGCTTTCCTCTGAGTGTTTTTTTTTGTCTCATTGCATTGAGTTATCACTTTAATACGCATATACTTGAACAAAGAGAAAAAACAAATGTACAGAACTGTATTGTTGCTTTGTCCATTTTATTTTTTATTAACAACTGTTTTTTTTTTGTCTGAGGCGAGCTGCAGATTGCTGTTTACAATATTATCAGATGAACTGGGAGGTCGGACTAAAGGGGTGTCTGTGGATGACTGATGAGGATGATTTCATGTTTGACAGCTCCAGTATGAAGCGCACCAAACAGGTCAAGTGGACCATATAAGACAGTATACATTGATATATCATGTGCTTTGCCTCTCTCATCATGACCTCCACTTCCACCGGTCTTGAGATGTCTTCCCTCTCTATTCTCTCTTCATTTGCGCTGCCCTTCTCGAGCTCCGTGTTGATCGTCTTCCACGTTTTCATTGACCCACTGGCTCTCTGCCAGCAGCTGTCAGCTCCCATTCTTCAGCCTTTGTTGCCACAGATGAACAATCGGGCTAGATTACTGGGGGAACATTTCTGTGTTTGCAGTATTATTAGCCAAAGTAATTGGAACACATAAACTGACAGGCCATAGCTGCAGGAATGTGGTGCAGAAAAATGCTGGCTTAAATATTTAAAAGAGCATATTCAGGGGAACCGAGTGTCTGTCAGTCTTAGCCTTAGTTCACACAAATCTTCCGCGGACTAAATGTGCTGTGAATGAAACACATTTGACACCTCAATGTGCTCTCCTCTGTCTCTTCCACAGGTGTCCACGCTGCAGATGTGTGACGTGGTGAACCAGATCGAGCTGGAGAAGGAGCACTGTGAGAATAGTACTTTCGGGAACCTCACTTCAGGTCATTCTCTAAAACTCATTTCCCTCTCTGTGACTGTTTTTGGGGTGTGCACGAGGCCATTCGGAGGAAATGGGAAACAGCATGAGTGAATAAATAGTGATGTAATGTAAGCCAGTGTGGGAATCTAAAGGCAGAAATGTAGTTTTTCCTAAATGGACTTTGCCTCAACAAATAAAATATAAATATAATAGTAAGAGCTTTATAAGAGTGATTGATTGACATTTAAAGAATAAACATTTGATCATCATATTCACTATGGATGGCATGGGACAGAGAAAGCTTCAGCTTTAGTGATTGATTACATTTCTATACCAGTAGAGACGGTCGAACCCATAGTCTGTAAATAAGAAGTGGATGTAGCCTTGTGGTTTTCCAAAGTAAAGACATGTGAGGAAGCACTAAAAGTAATCCAGACTATACAACTGCATTCTCTCTAATGGCCAGGAGGCGACTGAACTGGTTGAAAAGCTCTTGACTTCATTTATTTTTTCTTGTTCAGTTATCATTTCCTGTTGTATTCTGTCATTTTTTTTTACATTGCTCGTCTTCTTTCTGTTGTCTGATTACCACCCCAGTGTGTTTAGTCTGTGTGACAGTTTGTTTCTTGTTGCCCCTGATCTTGTGTTTGTGTGTTCCAGTGGCCTATACCACTGTACAAGCGTCATAAACCATTAACACCTAAGAGATCCTGTTTAACAGTCACATGAAGCTGGTGATCAGCCTGACAAGTCAACCCAGAGTTTCCCTAACTGCGTTCACATGCGGCGTTAACTTTATGTGCAGTAACCTCTCAATCATGAACAAGTCTGACGTCAGCTGATCATCATATTCAACTCAGAGCAACTAATATTAAAATAAGGGCTAGATTCCCAGAGGGGAAACTTATTTGTCTCCTGGTCAATTCATACACACAACAAACAATATTGACAGAACAATTACCACACACAACAAGTAAATCATTAACAAACACCATTGAAACCATTTGAGACATCATTTACAGCCATGAATCAGAGCTACAACGAACAATGTTCATTAAAATATCTGACTGCAGCTGGAACAAAGGACCTTCTAAGTCGTTCAGTTGAACACTAAGGCATTACTAGTCGCTCACTGAAGAGCTTCAGAGTCCATTAATAACACTGTGGAAAGGATTGCCTTCAAAGATCAGAACTGTTTTCAGTTTGGTCCTCATTTTCTTCTCTAAGGTAACTGTAAGTGAGTCTTGGGTAATGCAAATCACAGAGCCAGCCTTTTTGATCAGCTTATTGATCCTATTTTTATCCCCCACACAGACTGGCCCTCCAGCGCAGCATGGACACGTGCCAAGGTGCCCTGATAAAAAATTTGAAGATGGTTCTTGCTAATGTCTAAGGATCTAAGCTTCCTTCAGAAAAACAGTCTTGAGTAAATACTCCATCAGTGTTTCTTTTTCCAATTCAATTTAGTGTCCAGGAAGACACCAAGCTATTTATGAAACTGGACAATCTGCTGACCTTTAATGATTAGTGTGGAGACCTCTTCCCTTTTTCTCCTCAAATCAATAATCTTTCAAACATTCAATTTAAAAAATATTGCAACACACCGGCTGACAAAAGATTCAATCTCTTTTTTGTAGACAAGGTTGTTGCCTTGGGGAAGGAGACCCACTAGTGCATTATCATCTGAAAACCTTTGGACATGCCTACAGTCAGTAGTATAAAGTGTGAATAAAAAGGGAGATACAACTGTGCCTTGTGGAGCTCCTGCATTGGTTAAGATAATCTCAGGCCTTTTATTATTAAGCCTGACAAACTGAGGTCGAGATATATGAAGAAGTTAAACACACATGCTAAGACTCAAGTCAACACAGCTGCAGTGACAAACTCCACAATACAATATGTGTTTTCTCCTTTCTATGACCCTCTATGCTATCTTCATTCAGCTTTGTTTAAATGAAAAACACCTTTTGATTATTCATTGTGCATTTAGTTAGACATAAACTACATGTATTGTAACAGTTTTGCTCCTTATCTCTGAGTAAGCCTTATTTCTCTACTTCCCTATCTGCTTCCTCACAGGAAGGTAAAGCAGCTCTGAGGTCACATCCCTAATAAATGAACACCGTCATCTGCATAGATATCAGCCCTGTTGAAAGATATTTGGCATGCAGCGAGCTGATGTGTATGAGTTGTGTTGCATCAGTTCAATGCTGGCAGGCCACTTTACTGCTGATTCAGAGAAAAGGTTTTTTTTTTAGTTACCTGTTAGAAAAACTCAGATTTGTCGAAAAATGTCGGCAGTGCAGGAGTCTTACTCTGCCTTTGGGATAGATCGACAACATCTGTTTGTAAGACACATTTCTGTGACATTTCAAGAGCAGGGACTACAAGCAGCGATTTAAATGCATGCAAAGACAGCTCATTTGAAAAATAGGCACTTGGCATTACAAAAAAATAATGATTAAACATCGGCTAAACTGTTATTCTAAACGTTGGTATCAATATCGACCCTGAATTTCTCAATCAGGGTTAGGGTTATTTTAATTCTTTACATTCCTTTGTATTTTTTTCTGCTTATTATTGATCCTATATGACATGTGGACCCTGCACAGCATTGATTGTGTCACTGGTGTCTTGTCAAGCAAATGATTGAATGTTACCAGGGCGAGCCTGTGTGTGTGTGTGTGTGTGTGTGTTGTTGTGTCTGACACAAAGTGAGTGATGCCATGTTAATGGTATTGTCTCCCCCGGGCAGGTTGCCAGGGCATGTGGGATATCATTGCTTGCTGGCCTTCAGCCAGTGTGGGAGAGGTGGTGACAATTACCTGCCCCACTTACTTCAGCTACTTCAATGACCAGCACAGAGGTAAGCACGCCTATACCTTCAGATAATGTAAATACAACATGCTATTACGTTTTCATATTCAGCGTCAAAACCTCTGCTCTGTTTGGCTCATCAAAGCTGAATAAAGGTTCTGCAAAATCCACTCAAAATTAGATTTTTTCCACATGAGAGCAAGAAATTATGTAAATCGTGTTTTCTAGAACTCGTTTAACAGATTGAGTATGTGAAATTTTATCATGCTGTGTTAGTGGAATCATTTATTTTGAAGCCTACAGGATCTTGTTCTGCCATTTTTTAAATATGCTAAGGGCAGGCAGACACATTTATATAGCCTCATTTATTCATATTTACATCAGCTTTGAGTGTTGTGATATTTGAGCTTATTTGCACACAGCCAAGCCTGTGGGACTAGCTACAGAAGAGGAAATGTGTTGCGCTGCTTGCAAATGGACATTTAGAGTCATCAAACTGCTGTTTTTACAGTCACTAGAAAGATATTAGAAACCCTGCAGAGAGCCTGAGATAGAAAACTCAAGGCAAACTGTATATTAGTTCATGATGCTATAGTGAAAACCATCATTATATCATTGTTATTCAAAGGACCAGACACCAATTTTCACAACTTTTATTCATACAATAGTTTAATATTTGTTGTCAATATTCATCACTTCACAAAGCGAGGAGACAAGACTGTTCTCTCAAGCAGTTTTAAACAGCACCTTACAATCAATACTCTGGGAAAAATGTAACCCACAATACCAATGTTGACCCTGTGAACTTGTTTCAGGGAGATATGTGGGAGTCCTCCTGGCACCTTAAACCCAGGATAAAAGTAGATCCAGGGTAACCGTAAGCCGTGTACAGCGTTTACATGAGCCAAATGATTTAAAATGTGCGCTGAGTCACAGATTATAATCAGGGTCTAAGAAAACACGGAGGAATCCAAGGAACAAGGAATCCAGCTCATCCTCTATAACCTTTATTTTGGAAGCAGCACAGACGAAACGGGGGGAGGAGGAGAGAGGAATCACTAACCACAGATAAGAAAGAGAAACAGCACTATGTTTTTGCTTTTTGTTGAATCAGCTTTTAAAGGCACGGTACTTGACTACCTTCCTCTTCAACAATGTTGTGGAATGTTGTTATGGGCTCTATTCAAAATCGTATCTTCCAGTCTTATCTTTTTTTTTTTTTTTTTTTAAACTCGCATGTTGTTTTTCTGACTGAGGTTTTTGTTTTCTGATGCATTTCTGTGTTTTTCTTGCATTTCCAACAAAACCTTGTGTCCTTGTTTGTCGCACTCTTTCAACTCCTCTGCCTGAAAACACTTTGGCATCAGCAAAACCTCCACAGTTAAAACCACAATCAAAATTATATTAAAGAGCCACAACATGCACGGCTTACTGCATTGCCAAGAAAATATCCATCAATTGGGATGTTTGAAGAAGGTTATAAACATTCATTTGGTGCATTCCATGCAAATGAATGAACTGTGCAACAGCAAACTGCAGGTAGATTGAGTTAGAAGGCTCTTAAGGGACTTTTGTTTATCTTGTGCAGCAGTGACTGCAGCATTGATTGGAGACAGTTGATGGACTCATAATGCCAGTCATGCTCTTACTATAGGTCTTACTCGCTATTTCCAAGGAGAGTTTCACTTTTAGATTTAGCATCTGTCATCCTGCCTTCAATGTTCTTGGGGCTAAGCCTCTATTCATCATTCTAACATGGATAAGAGGTATAAGATGCATTACAAGGGTAAACTGCACTCAGCCAGAAAACATTAGGACACTGTGTTTGTGTTGAAATATCACCACAACATATTTTGTGTCTAGGACCTTGAAGAGTGACACAATGAGGCTGTGGTGTGAAATGTAAGTTGTTATCACAAGTGCAATTTAGTCTTTGAGAAACTGGCCTTAAGATTTCAAAATAAAAGTTGTTAAGGATTTCTTTCTTTGAGTTTTCATAGACTTGGTCGACGCTTCAAGTCATTTCAGAAGCATCAAGATAATTTGAAGCTCTCGTAATTTTTTAACTCCGTCATCTCTTGTGTACTGACTACATTATCAGTGCGTCATTCAAAAGACATAAGAGCAAAACATTTGAAATAAACACAAGGTACATCCGCCCTGATGAAAGGTAAAGTGCTCAGTGAAGACTCCCATCATCCCAATTACGCTCCTATTACCTACTGATAAGCTACATATACCTTATGCCCCTTTGTTGCCACAGCAACCAGAAAAGCATTACCACCTTCAACAGACTCAGGCTCAGAGTCTGTTGAAGGTGGACCCTGGACCCTAATGGCCCCCACAACCAAAATGCAACTATTCCTGGTGCCAACATTACACATGCAAGAACGGCAAAGAGAACAGAGAAAATAGCAAGACCCAGAAAAAAGTCTGAAGAGTGATCTAAGAAAAGAGGGTGGGATGCCCTGAGTAGACTAGCCCCATTTGGGCTTTCGCTCAACCTCCCCCTACTCCTTCATTATCTTGAAAAGAAGAGAGAGAAAAAACAGAGGAGAGCAATGTTTTTCTCACATTAAACACAACACACATAAAGGAGCTATTTTAACTTAGAGGCTGAAAAAGACCCTTTGTGTCCAGCAGGTTCTGGTCAAACTTTTAAATTGTAGAAAAGTGTTAAATACCTTCTTCCTCAGACTTTACCAGGATGTGACATCTCCTGTTTAATGTTGTTTTGTATGAAGGTGCTGATTTATTCAAATATTTCTTCACTTTATCCTGTGGGAACCATAAGAGAGAGATACAACCTCCAAGTGGTAATTCTAGTATCCCGTTTGAATTAAACATCAGGTTATTGAATTTGAACCTGCATCAAAGTGAGGCTGATTGTGGAGCAAATCAGCACAGACACCTGTTTGCATGTTTTCTTTGATGCTGGTGAATCTTTCCCTCAGGTCCTTATTTTCCTTTTCCCAGAGAAATATATTCAGATCTCTGCTGGAGGATATCTATTCCATCTTTTCAACATCTTTTCTGAGTCATTCCCCCTTCAGCTTTTCACCCCCTCCTCTCATGCCTCTGTGTCTGTGACCCAGCAGGTCAAAACCATTCTACCCCCCACTGACTGCGGGACGTGCTGATATCCAGCTATTACAACTATTGGGGCGATGGGACTGATGTGGTCATTGTGGTATATTCTGCTGCATTATATTTTCACTTAGCTGTGAAATATACGAAGCAAAAGAAAAGTCTTCTCAGTTTGATTATTATAAGGATTTTAACTTCAAGGAGAGACTATTTTTTCTACCTTCTTTGACTCACAGCTCTTCTCTCATGAATTGAAGTGTTTGAAGTCTTACTGCAACAGTAATCCTAAACTTTAGTAATGTTGTATTCTGAAGCCTCACCAAAAATCCTGCTGCTATTCATACCTTTGCATGTTTTTAGTCTAAGGAAAGTCAACTCAGCCAGTGGAAACTAAAAATATGGTATAAAACTTGTGTATTTAAACATTAGCACTTTAGACAGGCAGGCATTTGGAAACTCTAAATGCACTTGATGGCAGCATGCAGAAAACATGTAGTCCTGATGGTAAAGTCAGAGACATGTAACTTAGACCTGCTCATTGTCAGAGCAGACTGGATGGATGAATATACTTTTGAAAATGCTTAAAAAAAAAAAAGAAGGCTGCGGCTAATCATTATTATCTTCTCACTGAAATATTTTGAATTATTTTTTGCGAGCCACAAGAGGTTGAGTCTTTGTAATCTAAATTGAACATTTTTTATTCAACGTATGAGTATCAGAGGCTATTTGCTGAGCAGATCTGAGACCTGATTACCATTCTAATATTCACCGTGGTAAATACATTGACACGAGCAGGCTTTCATGTCAGACTGAATGGAGTAGACGTCTTCAAACTCATGTAAAGGCTTTGGTTGAAGTTCTTCATTTATCTTCTTTCCTTATTTTTTTTTAATTTTCACTGTGAACAAATAATGTCCGTGAACTTTTACTGATGTTTGATTGAGTCTCATGCACTAGTACTTTCTTTTATCTGTTTTTCCTTTGAGAGGGCTTCTCCTTTATATATGGAAAAACGATGAGGAACAATAGCTTTTACTTTGATTCATTTTATCTGCGTTTTATGAAAGGTACAGCACAGTCAGCGTATGTACCAAGACATTACAGAGCAAGATACAAAGTTAGAAACTTAAAACCGTAGGAGATGATCCACATTTCATTGTGGTCATATGGGTCTGGGTCTGGTCTTATTATATAATGAGACGTACACATAAATACAGTGTGCTTTACTTGCACAATGATAAGACTGACTTTTGATTAGAGGATAAAATGTTAAAAATTAAGCAATCCAGACATTTATTTAAAACATGTCCATTGTCATTGATGGATTTGATCCATTTTCTTGGATAAGGACAGAATTAGCCATCCATCCAGAGTGACAAAACTCTCTCACACACACATTCTTGACCAAAGGAGTTGGGAGGACAAACCAATCAGTGGAGCTGTATATTTCTGTCCAAATTACATATATAAGAACTGAATTCATAGATGATGGGTTTTGTTGTTTTTGTATACTTGCAGCTACTCTTAACATTTGCTAAATTAATTTTCCTTAGCCTACTTAAACTGTAAAAATTGACTTTGACTTTAATGCTAAATTAAAAGTGTAAAACCATGTGCTTTGGACATGTTGTACCATTGATAACATACAGAGCTTTTCTGTTTCACCTACACATGCATAATTATTTTATTTAAGTTTATTTTCTATTTTATTCAGCACAAGTCTTTTCCTCCATTTGGTGCCGTTTTTGCAGCTTAAAGACCTCTCAGCAAAGCAGACATCACAGCTGTAAGAGTGGTTACTATGACTACAATCATAGCAAAGTGGAAGGGATAGTATTGGAATCTTTCCTCTATGGAGGGTTGCAGTTTAGGATCATGTACATTGAGACTGTCTAAATGAGAACAACTGCTGCTTAAGGGATTTGTCAAAGAAGAACCAGGAAAGTGCATTTATTTTTCACA